GTAAATATAAATTATTATATTTTTACTTATTTGATATACTATAATTATATTTATATAGTATAAAAATACCTATATTATAGTATGAATATAACTATATCATAGTATAAAAATTGTATAGCATAAATTTATGATACAATATATAGAATTATATGACGTACATATACAAAATATAATACACGCAGTATTGTATAGAATGTCATAGGATATATAGATCGTAAACATTACGACGAAATAAAAGAGAATTTTATTTGAATTTGCGCGCGGTTATGGATTCCCGTGGAGCCGAGCCGACAAAGCGCAAGAGGGGAAGGAAAAAGAAGAAAGGTTAAAGGACGTGTGGACAAGCTACGTTCCTGCGCGTAATACCAGAGGAATTATTCCGCTTGTAAAGCGGCGAACGGTAATTTCCTTGGACCTATCTCAGGACTCCTTCATTGTCGTAGCTTTTCGCTTCGTGCCGTAGAACATGGAACGAACTTTCGCGCTTGTAACGATGATTACAGGCTGAGGGACACGCGACGTCTCCTCTTTTGTCGGAATGTCAACTACGAACCGTATTGTCCAAGTCAATGCTCAAGGTTCGGTGGCTCTGAATGGAGATATCAAATATTTTTCATCCGACGAGCTCTAACCATGGGATTGGAACTATCCACGTTCGAATCGAGAAAATAATTTGCCATTTATGCGTTCCCTTGTAAAGAATCGACGACGTATCAGCTAGAATGTTGTAAATGTTGAAACAAATTTAACTAAAATAATTTTCGTTCGTTGTTATTAGTGTAGAAAGAAGTTCTATTGGAATTATATTGGTATATATAGAGTATCCCAAAATTCAGACAAGAAGTAACTTTGATAGAAAACATAGGTTTTTAATTAAAAATTGTAAACAAAGATGTGTTGTTCTATGGTGTAGCGTTTCATTTTTAATAACCCTAAACTGTTAACTATTATACTGTCTTTCTTTTTTGTTGGCAACACTTTACCGCAAAAATGGCGCAAAATTCAAATCTTGCGTGAATTTTGGGACACCCTAATATGTTCCTAATGTCATATTTGTAATTATCAAATAATATACAAAAAAAATTTTATTGTTTAAAAATGATTCTATATTTTAATTTTATTATCCTTTAAATAATTGATTTTTACTGACAATTAAATATGTACATGTTATGGCATATGAGATATATAATAAACTGTACTATAGCATAATATAGCATAATATATACAGATATAATATATATGCAGTACAGTATAAATAATTATATAGAATTATACTATAGTTGTATATATAATATAGAAAATATTGCATATACTGTAATACATATACAATAGTATAAAATATATAGTATACATAGTTATGTACAATATAACGGTACCTAACTTTTTATATTTCAATTTTTATATAATAAATATCTTTAGTTACTAGTATCTTAATAGCTATATCTATTATTATAAGAATTTCTGCTCATTTACAAGTTTAGTAGATTGTAAATACCATAACTCAGCTAAAATGCTTCTCGTATGTAAATATCTCCATCTATGATTGTATACTTGCATGTAATTAAATTGCAGATGTTTATGCAAATTCATATTTTTACAAGAAAATTGGTAATAAAGTGAAATGTAAACAGAAATTTGTTTTGCTTCTAAAGGGTCTTAACGAGGCACTGTTTATTCTGCATATTTTACATATTTCATATGCTTCTTATACATTACTTTGAAAAGAATAAGACCCTCGCATATTGTACATGCACTCATGCACGTCAAAATATTTTCAATATTTCTTTTTGCACTTTCAACAACTAAAACATAACCTGAAATATATAAGAAATAGCAGGTATATACTTATATCAAGATTTTGTATTTTCGTTATAACCTTTTATAAAATATTTAGAAATTTTCTAAAAAGTTCGTATGGAAAACTCTAGGACACGTATCGATCTATTTTGATATCACAATTACTTATTCTCATGCATTAAACTTGTTTCTATAAATTCGTTTGTCTTACAGCATCAGTGACGTATTGGCGCCATAACCTATAAATTTGAAATTCAAGATCGGCACGTTGGCACGTTCAGAGTCAGAGTACATCGTTCTGGGTAAGCATTGGCCACAGCGGAGTAAACGTTTGCTACACGAGAACGGAAATCTCGAACAACTCGATGCTACTAAGAAGACCAGTAAATCCCGCGAGAGATCTCGGTCGAACGTAAATATGCGATGCGCTCCCACGCGCGACTCTAATGCGATCGCTATACTGCTTCACCTACCGCCGAATGTGTCAACCGTATCCGTAGAAATATATTTCTTTATTGTACCTG